GACAACGACAGGTCGAGCTAGGACCTCCAGATGACATGAGGGAAAACTCGACTTGTAAATATGATTGGTCGTACGATCGACCAGAATGAACACCGTGGACTCGAGGCAACCAACATTCTACCTCAGCGGAATGAGAAGTGACCACATCAGGAGGTGGTTTAACATGAGAGTTTAAAGGATAATAAAGAACTTTATGGTAATTAATGTTACACATGGGTTAGGCTACTTTTCATTGTCTGGTTGGTACACGCCACATTACCGTTTTGGGCAGCATGTATTGTACTATCGTGCAGTTCGAGCAGTTTGGGCAACTCATTCGGGCAGTCTTGAGCAACAAGGTATCATCTAAGAAGAGATGTATGCCCTCTGGTGTGAGAATTTTTAAAGGTTCGCAGACGATCTACCGACGAAGAAACTCGAGCTCAAGCCGATTCCAACCGGTTTGAGGTCTTTTGCTCACCAAGTTTTTACTTGCAACATTTTTGTTGAAAACTGAAAAGCAACATGTGTTTTGTTTAACAAAATTAACATGATTTAATTGTAGTAGTCAATGTTATTTATCAAATATGCTTGGAGAATTACTCCTCGTTTTGGACCACGGAGTCATCGATTTACTCATCAGATTATTGAGACAACTGTGAAATTAAATAATTAATTTTCGAAATATAGAAATTATACATATACTATACTCTTCTTATAAATATACATATACTATACTCTTCTTATAAATATACATATAAAAAATATTGAAGTTGATTGATAGATAATCTACTGAAAAGAATTAATCTGAGAAACAATTTATACATACACTTTATACCTCAAAATCTCAAGAACATTACATGAAAATGTTCGAGTTCACAAGGTTAACAAGAGCAAATGCATCCATGAAAGAATGAATCAACATCCATTGAAGCTTCGCATGTTAAAACCAGACTTCACTGAAGAGGCCAATCAAGCATATATTAAAAACTTATCAACCAATCTCAAACCCTTAGCAACAAGTTAAAGTAAAGAACGAGTACCTACCACACAAACAATACTACTAGCAGCAAGTGTAAAGTCTCGAAATATTACATTATACTCGATGAACCCATTGCTCCAGCCGAAGCTGCTTTAGAGGTGGACCAATGTCGGGTTTATTCTTCTGAGGGCAACACCATTTTCCAGTACTTCCAACTACAACAGGATAGAGAAAGTTAGATGATTCAGATAAAACTTTCCTGCATGTGTTTGCATTCTTCAGACATCTCATCACAGGTTTTTCTTCATGCCTCGAGGACTCAAACTGAAACCGTGCAGGCTTAATAAAGTTGCCAGCATTTTCTTTGCTTCCTTTCCTTACAGAAACGAAACCATTTTCAAATAGTTTGGTCTTTTTGTTCTCCTTCCCAATGGTTCTTATGTTAGCATGCCTTCTGGAGGAATCTTCTTTAAACACAGTCGAACCCAAATTACCAGGTGAAGCAATTTCTTTTATATCTTCCTCTTCCAAGCTATCTTTAGTGCAATCTTTACTTCCTGTCGACTTTGGAATAGAATTGTTTTCTTGATTACCTATTGCGTTTTTCATATTCAGTGAGTTAGGAACAATTCTTTCAAACAAACTGGAATCCAGCTTCATGTCGTTATCTTCCCGATTGGTATTTGTGTCTCCAAAATTTTGACTGTAATCACAGTTCGCTGTTCTCTTTTCAGGCAAGATTTGCTTGGAAATATTTCGTTGAGTCAACAGACTAGAGATTGGCGTAAGAGAACCATTATGAACATCCTGCAAATAGTGAACAATAATAATTGGCTTTAGAAAAGCTAGGAATGCTTCCTGCAACTCTTTGACAAGAATAATTGCCATTAGAGAAGTTAGGAATGCTGCTATGAGTTCGAATGAGAAAATCAACTAAAATGCAAAATTAATATAATTTTTATTTATTTATTTATTTTTTGAAAGCATTTGAAAATTGAAATAGTAAATATCAATGTTCTCAAAACCGAACCGGTCATCGAACCGGTGAAGCTACTGGTTCAATGGTTCACTGGTCGGACCAGTGGTCGAACCGGTTTAACTAATATATAATTTATGTATTTATTTTATATGTATAATATATAATTATATATATATCATTAATTTTATAGCATATAATGACATTTTTCTAAATAAGAGTTGATAAATCAATATTTCAAGTATAGTTTACCATAAACAGTACTAAATAAAGTTCACTAAAACAATAGATTAATAATTCAATATCTAAAGCAAGGCAATCTAAATTACAAATACAAACTATAAAGTCATCAAACATCAAAATATATCCAATCCAACATTACAATTCATCAAACTACAAAATACTATCTCACTCTTCTTTTTTTTTAATTTTTTTTTTATTTCATCAAGATTTTTTTTTAAATTTCAGAACTGGTTCGACCGGTCGAACCGGTAACGGTTCACCGGTTTTACCGGTTTTGAACCGGTTCGACCGGTTCGATACCGGTTCT